TGCTTGGTTTGTGCTTTGACATGCACTGTCAACCCTGGGACCTTATATAGCCATGGTGTATGCCTTTTCAAATCATGTCCAATCAACTGAATTGACCACAGGTGAACTCCAATGAAGCTGCTGAAACATTTCAGAATCATCAAGAAACATCAAGAATCAGTGGAAACAGAATGTGCCTGAGCTTAATTTAGAGCTTCACGGCAAAGGCTGTGAATACTGATGTACATGTGATTTTTAAGCTTTTTTTATTTTTAATAAAAAAAACAAGTGTTTACATGACTATACAGGTGAAGAAAAATATATTAAGAAAATATCAGGTTGCAACATCAAGCAACAGAACGAGCTGTTTTTAACAACTAAAAATGAATGGAAGTGAATGAGAGCAGAAGTCTCCAGCCAAAAAGATTCAAATGGCTGCGCCCACTCATACTCGAAGTATAAGATGAATAGCACATATGTTTGGAGTGTGGGGGAAACTGGAGTACCTGGAGGAAACCCACACCACACTCTCAGAAAAAAAGGTACAATGAGGGTACAATTTTGTTCCTAGAGGGAACAAAATATAAAATTGTACCTTTAAAGGTCCCATATTGGTCTTTAGGGTACAATTTTGTACCCAAATGGGCTATAAAGGTACAAATGTCCAGATTTAGGTTTGAAAGGTACATTTTTGTACCTTTTATAGCACATTTGGATACAAAATTGTACCGTAAAGGACCAATTTGGCACCTTTAAAGGTACAATTATATATTTTGTTTCCCTATAGGAACAAAATTGTACCCTCAGCTCATGATAAGATCAAGACACTATATAACACTAATTTAAATGTATTAATACTAAACATTAACACTAAAATACATAATTTAAAAATATAATAAATAAATAAATTGCTTGAATTAAATATTTTAATAATTAAATGTTTTTTCATGTATTTAAATTACATTTTTTTCTTAAAAATTTTAATAATTTAATTTATAATTGAATGTTATTTTAATCATTAAAAACGTAAATACTGGTCTTTGCTTACTGTTTAAGACCCTATAGTTTATGGGATGTAGAATAAGAACCATGCAGAGGGACAGCATCTTCATACAGGTGGTGATGTTGCTGTCTCTTTAAGAATTTGGCTTGTTGAGACATTATAGTACTTTAGTGTTTGTTACTGAGGCGGTCGGTAGAGTATGCTGGCTGTTTACACAGAACATCGCACGCTTTTCAAAGAAAAGTCTATTTTGGAGTCCACACTTTTCAGGTAAGAATATATTAAAGATATAATTGAAGTCTCATTTTTACATGTGAAGCCGTGTTCTGTTGATTTTGTCTGACTCTCGGGTCTCGGCTTTCCCCCGCTTTAAGTGCTCCGGGCAGGCCTGCAGGATGGTGTTTGCTAAGATGTCTGCAGCTTATTAGAGAAGTTAATACAATGTGATATCGAAGTCACCGAGGGACATAACGTTATAGACGGTGAGTACTATATGCTGTTAGTTTTCTCGGTGTAAAAGTTCCCTTTATCGCCTACGTTACGTATTCGCGCCTAATATCTTACGTTACGTTACTGCTTTATTAATAAGTGTTGCCACGGCGGAATATAATAGCAACCCAAATAGCAAAATACACTCGGGCCAGCAGAAGCGAGCCGACGCTGCCGTATCCGTGCACCGGAATCGGGCCGTGACCCGTGAGTAATGTGCGGTGTGGCCCGGAGCTCGCGCGACTAAAGTCTTCATATACCTTGATATAAAACCTTTTGTTATTAATACTGGAAATTTGTAATTATCGATAATGTTTTATATTTTGAGGTCATTTTCTAGCCACGGTTGACCGCTGAAATGTAATTTTAGACGGTTATATAAGTTACACCGCCATTTTGTGAAGAAAAATCACAATTTTGTCACCGGCAAAGCGACTGATTATGTAACGTTAAACGTGGCTAGTTACAAACGTGGCGTGTGTAACTTGTGCTTGTACATATCTTCGTTTCAGTGTCTAAGTTACATTAATGTTGAGGAGTGTCCACAAACTCTCATGTCCAGAATTGTTGGTGCTTTACTGTCGTTTAACGTTATACTTATGTTAATGTAGAATTATTAACATACCATGTTGTATAAATCGACGTTTTAAGTTATACTTTGTTCTTTAATGTAATAATTTGTCCCATCTGTTCTGAAACTGGTACCTTGAGCTATTTTACCTATTTTATTAATATCTCAAAATAAATAAATAGTTATTGCTTTGTCTTATTGCTTTCCAGAAGTTTTTGAAGTTTCTAATTGTCTTTCAGGACAAGATTGAACAACAGAATGCAGCCTAACAGCATCAGACCAATGAAGGCATGTCATATGAAAGCATGGCTCAGTTACAAGATGTAAGTATGTCTCATTATCTATACCATGGTTTTAATGGCTTACATACTATTTTAAATTGGTAGGTTTTTACTTACAAACAACAATAAATGTACACCCACATGTTTAAAATTATTTTCTAGGTATTCATCGAAAGATGAGAGATCAACTGAAGAATGCTATGGACCTGACTCTAAGGTACTCTTTCTAAACTTTCTCCACTTGATTATTATTATTAAATTCTAGCTTTGGATGGCCTCCTTCATATTTGTTTGTATGCCACATCTTATGTTCCAGGAATTGATTTTACAGCAGCACTTCTCATGTTGCCAGCCTTGTTAAGCGAGACACTTCAACATTTCGTTGTGCTCCGGTGCGTATGTTGTTTTCTGTTTAGTATATGCTGTGATAAATGCATTTTATAATGCTTGATATTCTTTATATTAAGATGATGCAGTGGGTAGTGCTGTCACCTTACAGCAAGAAGGTCGCTGGTTCGAGCCTCGGCTGGGTCAGTTGGCATTTGTGTGAGGAGTTTGCATATTCTTCCAGTGTTCGTGAAGGTTTCCTCCAAGTGCTCCGATTTCCCCACAAGTCCAAAGACATGCGCTATAGCTAAATTTGGTAAGCTTAATTGTCTGTAGTGTATAAATGCGTGTGTGAATAAGTGTGTCTGGATGTTTCGCAATACTGGGTTGCAGCTAGAAGGGCATCTGCTGCAAAAAACATATGCTGGATAAGTTGGTGGTTCATTCCACTGTGGCGACCCCAGATTAATAAAGGGACTAAGCCAAAAAGAAATTGAATGAATGAATGAAATTTATATTAGTCTTTTTTTAACTTTTTTTTTTAAATCAGTGAATATTAATTATTTTACTTTCTATGCATGTTGATTTTCTCTTCATCAGTGATAGAGTGACTGATATTAATGTAATTATTGCTTTGTCATTTACAGTGAACCATCTTCACCACATTCTACAGTTCAAGTACAGGAGGACACCACCGACTGGACAACTGTGTTAACAAGACGAGTCACGGCAGTCTTCAGAGTTGATGGGATTGCGATTGGCCGGGCTAATGATGTGGACGAATATACATTTTTGACATCCATCTTATTAGAAGAACACCTTGATGTTTCTGCAGTGGAATGTTTTGAATGAACGGTGGACGGTGACAAGCCTGGATCTACTCCAGTTACCAGAGTGATCAACCTTGTTTTTTGTTTCTCTACATGCTCTTGGGATAATCACAATCATCAAGTTAATCCAGCACACTGCTATCATTCATGCATAAAGCAAATTTTTAAATAACTTGTGGTCCTAATGACTATCAAAGAACATTTTCCAGTAATGAGTGCTTTACATGTCATGTTTATCAAAAGCATAAACACATATTGTGTTACAACAAATTACAACTCCACTTGAGGATGATGAGGAGTAATCTACTGATGTTGAGGAAGAGGCTACTGATGTATTTGGTTTTCTGCACTGTTGAAGCAATTTATAGAGAAACATTGCCTTCATTCTGAAATTCAGAGAAAATGTTGATGACAAATTATTTATTATGACCGAGTATTCTGACTACAGACAAACACTTTGGACTTTATAAAGTGCAGTACTTGATGTAGCCTGTGTAATGTGTTTATAAATCTTAAACAGTATTCTTGTGGTCTTTGTATTAAGGGTAGATTATTTACTGTACAGTGAGTGAACAATTTTTATTTGTTATCTAAATTGTATACTTGCTGTGTAATTTTATTTCTTGACGCATTCAGTTGTGAGTTGTAATGAAATATTTCTACATTAATAAATAAAAATGGACATCTGTGAACCAAAATATTTTATTTATTTATTTGTGCATGCAGTCACCAAAAGATCAAAATGCCTGGGTCAGTACCCTGAAAATGCTATATAATATAAAAAGGTACATTTTTGTACCTT